AAAAATGAAACAAAACATAAATAAAAAGAAATACTATAGCAACTCTTTCTCAGCAAATGACTGTACAGACTAATTGTAAACCACACGGATACAGAGAACAAAAAATCCACACGAGCTGAATGTCCAGAAAGATTTAATAATTGGTTTATGCTGGAAGCAAACGATTCATATTCCCGGTTAGAATCAGAAATCAGATCTTATTAAGCTTACTTTATAAAAGAAAGTTAAGTTAAGATTCATCAAAAGGAGAATGAAAATAGTTTCTTTAAATAAATATAGGTAAAACATGAAAAGTTATCCAAATTAGTTTGATATATTAGATCCAAATGTAATGAAATGCAATATATAAACATTATATATTGCAATGCAATATATAAACATTTGGCTAATGTTTCAAATGCCATTGGACATGATCCAGCTCAAGTTAAATATTTTAAATTTCATATAATATGCTTGTAAAAATCTTGTATACACTTTTCAGTCAAAATGTACATTTGAATAAATAGCATTAGGATCAATAGGATTTTGATATAATTTTAAGCAATTCTTAGTTTATGCTCACTAGCATTTTACATGAAAAAAGAAGTTCTGTATTTGATACTCCGAGTTTAGTTTCATCCAAGTGGCTCTGCCTGACTTCAAGTGGGGGGGGGGGACGAGGACAACCGTCATGCAAGACCATGAGATCAGCCCTGGAGATCAGGCCATCGTAGCCCAACCCATCTCGGAGGGCCATCCTGGATGCTTCAGGGTGTCCACAAGCCGGATCCAGGCCTCTTTCCTGACCTTGTTCCTCTGTAGCTTACATCTGGAGACGTGCTGCTGTTCCCACCCCTTAGGTAGCCCTTTGTCCTGGATAGACATGTCCCCAATATCCTTCTCCGTAGCGGCCCTCACCACCTGTTACGGTTAATGAACTCCAAAAACAGTGAAGCCCTGGATAAACATGGGCTCACCAGTTGCACCCCCACAACCTGCACAGGCAGCATAAAAGCCCCCCCACCACTCCTGTGCATTGATTCATTCAGTCCATGCAGTCCGGCAGCTTTGCTGAGAGGCTTTATGGGGTCTGTCCATGTTGTGGCAAACCCACCTAAAATGGTCAGACCGCTGCTGCCACAGAGGAGGGGAACTATAAGCGAATGGGTGGGATAGGAGCCTCAGTGTCAAATAATTTAAGATTTAGATGTATCCTTTATGTTGTGGTTGTGGAATAAACCACGATATGAAATGATAACACAGAAATATCAGTCAAGAAGTCACTACAGCCGAATGAAAACACACAATGATCACAGGAGAACTTGTTGTTTAACCTGGTGTGAAGAAAAAACCTAAAAGGACCTACCGTGTTACTTCTAATTAAAACATGACTTTCTTTAGAGTGTCTTTAGGTTTAAAGTAGCTTAGTCTTTGGAGACAGAAATTAGCCTCGGTGGATGGAAAATATAAAGTCAAAGCAGGCAGTTTTGTGAATGTGGAAAAACGTGGAAAGGAACCCAGAGTTAAAGTAACCTCAGCTAGGAGAGACTTTCTTAAAAACCTGCTTAACAAACAAGCATTAATTATGGGGCCAAATCACGGGGTTCCTAGGGAAGCGTAGTGAGACAGTTGAAATCATTTTTTTTCCAGAGCAATCAGTAAATTTCCACGTGACCCAATAAGTTGTGTAATTCTTTCCCATGACATATGGCATTGTAACTATTGATTTTAATATATTGCTGGAGTATAGTTTAAAGTAATTATGTGACTATGAAATAGTTTACATACCTATACTGTATGTTCCTCTCTTTCTCCCTGGGTGTATATGTAATGTGTATAAGAAAGCCAGTGGGATGCAATTAAATTGCCAGGCTTCTCCCCTACGGGAGATTGGGGTGAGGGTGATCATTTGAACTGGATCGAGGGAGGGAGTCAGACTGGGCCCCCGAAATGGCCTTTCCATCTTGAGGAGCCTCCAATGCAGGCGAGAGAGCTTTTCCTTCCTTACAGCCGGCTGTGTCCCCTCCGGACTCTCGGGGGGCAGACTCTGACCTTCTTTCTGGCAGGGCTGGCAGGGCTTAGGGAGGCATTCCTCAGTGGTGCCAACTGGCCCCGACTGCGGCTTCCTAGTTGGCAGGAGATGCTGCCTTAATCAACCCCATGGAAGGAGGAAGGCCCTTTGCTTGGTTTGGTTGCCTTGGATTTCCCTCGCCTCCTCCGTCCGCTCCTGCTCACATTCCCACCCAGAGGGCAGGGCTGCTCTCCTGCCTGCACAGGCCGAAGCAAAGCAAGACTTCATAGCCGGTTTCCAGTGCCTGGTGCTTTGATGCCTTTTAAAAGGGAGAAATTAGATTTGCTGAGTTAAGGCATGAGTGTCTCATTAAAAACGCCTCTTAATAGAGGTCAGCCAATTTACCCAAAGAAGAGATTTTCAGTGTAAGAAAACAAGCAAATCAGTTTTAGAACAATTTGCTCTAAAGCTTCAAAAAGAGCTGGAAATGAGACTTGGGGGATCTACCACAAACGAGGTGCGATGCCGCCAATTAAGCTCACATCCTTCAATCAGAAGGTGTTAACGTTATCTGTTTTCCCTTTTGCATTTTAATTCATGCTAAGTCATTTTGGATTGACCGTTACGGGTCTGGTTTACCCATGACATGCATGCCAGCCTCCTTCCTTAGGGCAGAAGGTGAAAAAAGTCTACCACCCATTCAGCCCTGGGTGTCAGGATGGAGGTTGCAGCCAGAAGGCCTTCCCAGCCTCTGATGGCCGCTCAGCCGTGTGGCGCAAAGTCTGGTTCCAGCGAAACAGGTTTCCCACATTTCCCTCTTCCTGCTTTGGGGTCCTTTGCTGGCCGGACAGTCTTTCTCACCCTTAGCTAGGAGACTGATCCCTCTTAAAACTTCTTTATTCCTTTGAGTTTAAACCAATGGTTTAAGGAAAAACACAAATTTCTAGAACATGTGCAAAAATAGCTGGAAATGCAGCCGTTTTCTCGCAAAGAAAGGCTACAGCAACGGTTAAAGAGATGTGGGAAGCTGATCTAGAGATATATGAAATCACGCACGGCCAGCGGTGGCTTTATCCAAAGCTAACCATTTTCAGTTGACTGTGGCTGTCAGCTTGGCTCAAACTGAACAGTGGACTGAGCTGTTGTTGCCAAGGTCACATCAGGTGCAGCTGATGCTAAATTATCATTCTGAACATACAAATCTTTGCCTCAATGGGAGTCAGCTTCCATCAGTTAATGTTGCCTAGGGGAGCCCTGGACCCCCCTAAATCAGCACTCGGCCCGGCCCAGACAATATCTCTCTCTCTCTCTCTCTCTCTCTCTCTCTCTCTCTCTCTCTCTCTCTCTCTCTCTCTCTCTCTCTCTCTCTCTCTCTCCCTCCCTCCCTCCTCTCTCAAGTTCATCCACTGAAGGAGTCGCAGAAGTGAGAGAAGAGAACAACAGTGTCATACAGCATATTCACTGCCAGCAGCGGTCAGTCAGGATGGTTAAAAGAACAACAGCAACAGGACAGATTCATGGACAATTAGACCATCAGTGGCTATTACTGTGGATGGTGGTGGTGGTGGTGACACTTTGTGAATCCTAGACCACAGGCCTTCAATCTTGGTTTATGGGAAGTGCCATTGGAAGTTGGGTCTCACTCCCTAGTGCAGTCCAGAGCATGATGACCAACCCTCTTCCCTGAAGCTTACAGATTCTGATCCAACATGCTGGTCCAGGCTGGGTCAGTAGATGTTTTTCAACTTCTCCCCTTTCTTTCTCTGCACACGCCCATGGGGGGGGGGAGAGAGAGAGAGAAAGAGAGAGGGAGGGAGGGAGGGAGAGAGAGAGAGGGAGGGAGAGAGGAATGCTTTCTTGCAGCTTTCTTAATTTCCCTCAGTTGCAAAGACATTTTTCTTGTAATTTTATATCCATAAAAGGACTGAGGCATGTCTGTTCAGTGTCCATATTAGATTAAACTGGATATGAACAAGGTGTAATGTTTTTGAAAAACATCAGAAAAAGCAGGTTTTATTAAATTGTAAGTACTTTTTTTTTGGCTTGGAAAAGTATGCTTTTATTATTTCTTTTTCTTAGACTTTAAATATTAATTTGACTCCCTGGGAGAATCTCGCAGTTCATACAATTCAAATGAATTTAATAGAGAAAGGTTTGGGATTTCCTTTTGAAGAAAGTCCACAGTACCCATTTACTAATGTAATAACATTATAATAAAATAATAACTGAAGTGGATATTTTATCTAGCTTTTATGTTCAATTATTATTTTATTATTTAAAAAATATTATTTTAGGCCACCCTACATTTCACTGTGGCCCAGGCCTTTCTTGTGTGTTCAGGTTACAATTTCTTGGGTTTTATTTGTTGGTTTGGTAATCTCAGGATTTGAGTCCAACAATCAAAGCTGGACCTTCCTTTGATATCAAGCCAAATCAAGGCAGGGTCTATGGAGTTTCTTCAGCGGCCCCCTCTTCCTCCCCCCCCCCCCTTAGCAGCCCACTGCTTGCTTCCTCCTTCCAAGAGCCAGCCTTACAGTTTCACCCAGTGCTGGACCAATTTCCCTCCTCTCACACCAATTTGAACATTTCAGTTAAATAAATAAATAAATAAATAAATAAATAAATAAATAAATAAATAAATAAATAAATAAAATCTATCCAATTCAATTTGGACATCAGAACAGACTTACACTCAGCCTCCCAAATAGAATTGATTTGCTAAATTTCAACCAATAAAAGTTACAAACAGAAAGTGTCCAAATTGTTCAAAACAATTTAGGTGTGTTTGATCTCTTGCTTGATTCTCACAACTGATTTGCTTGATTCTTAGAACTGGGCGTCATAAGGTCCACGGTGGATGGCTCCCATTACAGGAGTGGCTTTGGGTGCAAATAATGCCAGCACAAAAAGATGAGAAAATCTAGCTGTGTTTATGTGAAGTCACATGACCTGGACCTCCTGATGTATCTACAGAAGCCAAAAATCTTGAATTTCCTTCTTTCTCTCTGTTTTTTTTTTCAGGGTTTCATTGCTTCTTGATTACTTCTTCATTGATTTATGGTCAAGGACAAAGGTCTTTAACAATGACTGTAAATTAAAAGAAAAGTAGATGGAAATAGATTAAAAAAATAGAAAAATTGACAGAAATCTAGTTATAATGCTTCGTTGTCCTACATCTATGGAACATTTTCCATAGCCATCCTATGTTGACATACTCTATTCAAGGGATTGAGAGAAAAATATTGTAAAACGAAAGGAAGCTAAACTAGGAATATAGAACTAGAACTTAAAATATTGAATATAAAGAGTCTATTCATTTGTATGCTCTTACAAAACTATTTTTTTTAAAGGAAGCCTACAGTCAGTAGAATGAATCTTTTATTCAAAAAGTGTCTGTTTCGTTTCTTTATAATCTTGGCTCCCTATTTTTAGCAATTGATTCCTGCTTCTTAAGATTCCCTGATTTTCCTACCATAAAACCATTTAATATTTTTTTTGTGATGTGATGTATTCATGAAAGAATACCAGGGGACTTTAAAAGGCAAAGCAGCAGAAGTTTGTCTTATTTAAAATATAGCTGGCAATTTCAAAGATGAATTCTGAGAGTGGCCTCTTTTTCTAGCCGGCCAAACCAAACCAATTTTCATCTAATTTAAATAAGAGTATGTGATTTGAAAATTAAATTAAAAGGTGTGTGTTGTGTTGAGTTTCTCAGTAATGAGTTCCATGTTTTACCTTCGGGATATTTGGGAGCTGAGACTCTTTAGAGTTTCTATCTGCAAGCTTTGGGTTAAAATAATAATCCTCTGAGTTAGTCACCTATCACCTTACACTGATCTTCCACCACTGTTTAAAGCAGGAACACTTTCAGCCACGTCTGTAAGGGATTAAAGTTTCTGTGTAGCTGGAATGAAGACAGACAAGTCATTTTTCAGATAATTCACCTTTCATGCTAGCAGCCCCGTGGCCTGTGGTCTTCAGGCTTATTTCTTTTCTTCTACGTTTGTCTCCATCAAAAGCAAAACCTGTTTACCAGATCTGGCAGTAAGATCAGTGGGCATAACTGCAGGCAACGAAGCCATTTACAGGACCCTCCTCAACTCTCTGAAAAGGAGGGGCCCACCTGGTTCTGGCTATCTAGGCTATCAAGAGGACAGGAAGTGATTTTAATTGCCCCGTTTCCGGGCTGGTCCAGCCCCTGAGGCTATCACTACGGAAGGGGTTCTTCTGATCTTTCCGTGTGGCACTCCCGCTTCCTCCGCCTGGGGTCTCCAGACTGCAGTTCCCATCATTCCCAGCCATGGTGAAGAAATGCAGTTCCCACCTACCTGGAGGGGGCTTAGCTGCAGCAGCCTTGGATCCTGCAAACAATGCATCTCTCCTGGCACAAAGACTTCTGCATGGTACCCAGTTTGCTGTAGGGAGGGTGGAGACCAGAGCTTAGTTGGGAGGGAGGGAAGTCCAAATCACGAGCATCTGAAAGGCTATTCCACCAGTTGGTAGCTACACCTCTTGAGATTATCAACAATGGCTGTAAGGTGTTTTTTCCTTTCATTCCCAGTCTAGCAATATCAATGGCAATTAGATGTATATACCGCTTCATAGTGCTTTACAGGCCTCTCTGAGTGGTTTACAGAGTCTCCCTCTTGCCCCCAACAATCTGGCTCCTCCTTTTATTGACCTCGGAAGGACGGAAGGCTGAATTGACCTTGAGCCAGTCAGGATCGAACGCCTGGCTGCGGGCAGAATTAGCCTGCAATGCTGCATTCTCACCATTGCTGGGATTCTTCCATCCATGGACAGGGCTTGCCATGTCTGATCCCAGTTAGCTTTTTCAAGAACAAGGTCAGAGACTTTCTGTCACCCCTGAGTACCCACGTGGGGGTCCCTTGGTTGACTGGACGCCAGAGATCGGCTTCTTTGAGCCTTGGTGGCGTAGCTGATTAAGCACTGTTACAGTGCACAGTGCACCAGCTACTGCAATTCAAATCTGCCAGGCTCAAGGTTGACTCAGCCTTCCATCCTTTCTAAGGTAGGTAAAATGAGGACCCGGATTGTGGGGGCAATAAGCTGACTTTGTATAAATAAACAAAAAGTATGAAGGCTATTGCTTAACGCACTGTAAGCTGAGTCTCCGGAGAAGGGCGGCATATAAATAAAAAAAAAAGATAAAATAAATTGCTTGTTTAGGCAGGCCTAGGAAAAACAAAAGAGCACCTGTGGCTTCCAGGTTTTGTTTAGTATTGTTGTACTAATAATATTGGAAACTGCTCTCAAGCAAAGCAGCCCTTAGACCTATCCCAGGGCAGTCTCCAAGGGCCGGGTATAAAATAGTCAAGGTGAGACTGAAGCCCCTTTTTTTACCTGTACACCTGTCTCGAGGGGACAGGCCTTCAGTCACATCCTTGTATCCACCAGGTGGACCTTCGGACTCCCTCCCCGACCAATGGACACCTCTGAGGGATGGCTTCTGAAGTAAATAAATGAATATCAGAGGACATAAAAAACTGACTTTTAAGCTTTATGGCAAGGGTAAGGGGATCACAGCTCAACCTTGGCTTTATAAGGACGATCTCTCTCTCTCTCTCTGTCTCACACACACACACACACACACACACACACACACATTAAACCTGTGGCAAACACAGCATGAGTGAGGGATAGATTGGAGTGATTCACAAGTTTCATGGCAGATAAATAAGAATCCTGTCTGTATGTGGGTGTGCTTGTTTAAGGATTGCTTTCATGAAGAGTTTATAAACCAGGATTTTATCAGTAAGCCTCCTTTGGAAAACTAGGCCAATCAATCTGTAGGAAAGAGAATATTTGGCAGGCTTTGTGTATGAAAATATACATTAAGCATAACCTGAAGGGGAAGAATGAATGCAGTTTAATTAACACAATCTAATATTGTTACATTAAGCTAACTACATTAGACCCATCAGTCTGCTTCAATTTTTTCCACTAGCCTTCAGCATTATGAAAAAAAGGAGGAGCTGAATTTCTACAGAATCCCCACGAGTTAAACTGTTTCTGAGGCTTCTTGGCCTGGAAAGATCAAGCGATTTTCTGTAATAATTGTTCCGGTGAAACTATGCCATGCAAAATGAAATCAGTAGTGCATGATAGCAACAGTGAATGTTCTTTGGAGTCATATCTTCTTCACATGATTTGGATTAAAAATCTTTATCCTTAATTTGGACTTTAATCTTTACCCTGTTGGTAAAGAAACATCTCAAGAACATCTCAAGAAACATGCTACATGCTTCAATCATAGCTTGATAATATAACTAAAATTCAGTTTGAAGCCAGAGTGAAAAGTGCATACACCAAATATGAAAAATTGAACTGTGTCCTGAGTTCATTCTTTACCTTCAAAGGTTATATATCAAAAGGATGTTATCTCAGTTTCATTTTTTAGGTAGGTGATACAAAACAAATACTCTGACTTTAACACCCCCACCCCCACCCCCACATATACACACACCCTTCGTTTTCGTACAGGAGCCTAAGGTGGCATTCATTGCCTTCTCTTCCCAATTTAATTGTATGACTGTAGAAAGTTCAGCCAAAGGACAGGGACTAATGAGAATTGTTAATCACTCCGACAGCCATGTATTAATCCACCTCTCCGTATGGTTCTTTCTTCCAGGCTTCCCCAAAGAAATGAGCGCGAGGGACAAACTTATTCAATCCCGGCATCCCATTTCCAGGTTCCCCATCGCCCATCTTGCGATTTCTCAGCCTTCAAGGCAACCTTCCTCCCATTGAAGTGCACTTTTCATCTCTCTTCTCCTTCACTGCAAAAGCGATCCTATCAGGGGTGGGTTCTATTTACCTTGACTATTGGTTCGCAAGGGGGCCACACGCGCGCACTCGCTTCGCTTGCATGCGCTTGTGCAGACGCATTCTGATGACGTCGGGGTTGGTGGGTGGAGCCTCCCGCCGGTTTTACTACCGGTTCTATAGAACCGGGGGCAACCCACCACTGGTCCTGGTGTTGGGCTCCTAGCTGAACTTCAAAGAGAAATCTGTCGCCCACATACATACCAAGTGCCTCCGTGTGCATCGTGGGCAGATATGGCTTTAAAAAGAGGTGGGGGCAGGGGGTAACCAGTTCAGTAGCTGCTATTTCCCCATCTTAATTTCACTGATGAAAGAGGAAAAGAAGGACAAAATGAGAGCTTTCGATGAGTCCTGAAGAAAGCAACATGGCGGTTTGCAAACAGCCTACACGTTTGAAGCTTGTTTCAGTAGGAAGTTTATCTTTCTAAAGTCCTTTGAAAGAAAGAAGGTGTTGCTTTTTAAGGAAAAGTGCCAGTACAGCCCCTTTCAATAGGAACGATTCATGTAAGTTGTGGAAAACACAAGTGTTGCTTCTAGGGCACAGAAAGAACAGAATGCCAGGCAATTAACTAGGCCCAATTAAAGGGCCCCGGTGGTCTTTGCCGGCAAAGTGAAAGTGGCCAAGCATTCATTTTGTTGTCTGGTTCACAATTAGGAGCCACTGTTGTTGGCTCCTAAGATAAAGCAACTTTGAGCAAGACATTAGACAGTGGTGGCCTATTGATCATTTTCTTTCTGTTTCCATTTCTTTCTACATATTTTTTTCTATCTCGGTTGCTTTCTATTTTCTCCAAAGAATTTAAGAGTATATATTCATGCGACTAAGCCCTCCTACGGTAGACCAGACTAGCAATTGACATGGTAGGTTTCCAACAGTGTGATCCAATGCTGTATGGAAGCCATGGGGTGGTGGAGTATGGTGCCGAGGGAAGGCCCTAAGAGCCATAGAGTTGGAAAACTAAACAATAATGACCTCCTGCTTCTGAGCAAGTGTGCTGAAAACAATTAGTGCATCACTAATATGAGCTTCAGATTTGCAAACAAGTACAAAGCAAACTTGATGCATCCCAGGTCCAAATACAGGCACCTCCTAGACTAGGACATAGTATGTCAGCGTGACCTTAAAGAGGCCATCATCACCCGGGCTATGTGAGGTGCTAAATGTTGACCAGATCACAGGCTGTTCTGGTCAATCCTCAACCTGCACGTGACAACCAACCAATGTCTTAACATCATTCAACATTGGCAGAGTGCAGGACCCAAGCCAAGTTCAACATTTTCAAGTAATACTTGATGAAAAATTCTCTGCCAATCTACCACTTGTAGGAACCTATTCTGAGAAGTGGATGCAGTCTGAAGATGTCACCACACAGACCTCAACGACTATACTTGGACTGAAACCCAGGCACCCCAAGGCTGGTCTGATGAAAAAGCCATCAAAGAGACCATTTCAACAGCCCTCCGGGCCAAGAACAAGACCAAGGCAGATGGCAGAGTGACCCATCATCTGTCTCAAAGAAAGGCGAGATTAAACACCTGCAATGCAATGTACAGGCAGAAATGCAGGACGAGTGTTGGCAGAGAAGGGCTAAGAAGGTGGGATGCTATTCAGACAAGGCAAAGTGTCACCAGAGACTTAAAGGCAGTTTATGGCCCTTCTAAATCAGGACCCTCCCCCTTGTTGTTATCTGATGAGCTGAGCCTGATCAAAGACCAGGAAGGACTATGGGAAAAAACCCACCACCTAAACATTTTTCCAACCTGCTCATTAGGGCATCCACAGTTGAACCTGACGTTTTACTGCAGATTCCTCAGCTACCAGTTTTGGATGCCCTCAACCTGGCTCCCTCTGCTGATGAGATCAAGAAAAGGATCTAGCAGGTGAACTCAAGTAAAGGAACAGGGCAGGATGGCATTCCTGCTGAGATCCAGAGCCACTAGGCCCAAGTACATAATTTGTTCTTGGAAGACAACTGACTCACAGAGGAGATGTGTGGCAACCGTAGAGAGACACACAAGGCCCCCATCCTGGATCTCTATAAAAATAAAGGGAACAAATCATGTTGCAGACAGTATAGGGGTATTATTTATTAAATTTAGATGTGGCCTATCTCACACTCACATAACTTTAGGCAGCTCACAGCATGATGAAAGATTACAACAGTAAAACAGTAAATGCTAAATGAAGAATTAGCCAAGATGGTGGCAGCATGCAGTGAGGGTGAGGTGGGATCTTCTGTGTATTAACCACCTCCAGAATGGCATAGCCCCATCCAGGCCCCAGGCTAACCGGCACAGCCAGGTTTTAAGGCCCTTTCAGAAGACTCAGAGGGTGGGGGCTGATCTTACCTCAAAGGATACGATGCAACAGAGTGGGAACCATGGCAGAAAAGGCTCTTCGCCTGAACTTCCCCAGCCAAAGTTCCTTGGCATGCCTCTTCTGCCACTGATGGTTCTTCACGGCTGTCCATCGTAGGCACGGTCATTGCTGCATTTTTCTGAATAGACTTCTCACTGCCTCAGAAAGAAACCTCTCATTGGTGCAGTGTGGCTTTTGGAGTACAGCAGACATTATATTCTCTGTGGGACAAGCCCAGGAAAGTGCACTGAGCAGAACAAACCTATTTACCTTGTTTGGCCAAGGCATTTGACACTGTAACACAGAGACTCTCTGGGCCATCCTGAGGCCTTTGGAACCCGAGGACATTTGTGATGTTGCACGATGGAATAACAGGACAGGCTCTTTACGACAGAGATTCATCAGATGTGTTTGCCATTCCCAACGGGGTAAGACAGACTCACGTGCTGGCCCTGGTCCTAGTCAAGCTGTTCGCCTCTTGCACATTGTCAGGTGCTGTCCAGGGTCCTGAAGGAGGGGAGCAGACCTCAGGTACCAACTGAATGGCTGTCACTTTGACCTTCACTGCTTGAATGCATGGACAAAGAGCCTCCATACAGTCCTTCAAGAAACCCTCTTTGCAGGTGACTTTAAAAAAAAAAAAAATCACAACATGTTTTAGATTAAACCTGGAAACTCCAACATCTTTTAAGCTCTTTAAATAATTTCCTCCTGGAACCAAAAAACTAAGAAATAGTCTAATGTAGGCTAGACTTACATCTATTCTGTCCAGAATGTTTCCTAGTGAAGATAAATTCAGTTATTGCTTCTGAAATGCATGAAGATACTTTAGTGGCTTCATCTGTTTTGTTTTGTTAACTTCACTTGTTTTTTCCAGAGTTCTACTCTTCAAATAAAAGTAAAAAAATATTTTTTGCAAGATTTTGAATTTTAAAGAAACGCTATCAGCACAAAGAAATCCATCCAGGTCTGAACTCATTAACTATGCTGCCACCTTTTGGGAATTGTTTAAACACTCCTCTCCCTCTCCCTCCCTCCCCCCTACTTCTGTAATAAATCATAATATTTACTTACCAGTAACAATGGAATCGTCTTATTTAAACTCCCATTGCAGCAATAATTGTCATAAATAATCACTGTACTTCCTGCAGCTTATCCCGATTCTCCTTTTCTGAACATAATTGGCTGTGATCTCCAACATCTTAGTAACAATCAAGCGGTTAACTCTGCAGCATAATGCAGGCATC